TCCAGGCAGGGACAGCTCTACCCCCCTTGCCAGCAGGAAGCAGTTTCAGAAGCCAAGACCTTCACCCCTTACTCCAAAAGAATTTGGGTCCCATTTGTTTGGGGGGGAATGATGGGGTTGGGATCTAGACCCCAAAAAGGGAAAACCCTGCACTTTCCCAGATGGCTAAATCTCTGGTGTTAGCCTGAGGCTATAATCCCATCAACTGGCCTTTCATTGTGGCTACACCCAATCTCCCAATTCTGTTAACCTAGCCTGGCCTTCCTTTGTCTTACCTTCCTATGTAGGGCCCCTGGCCATTTCCCACCCTTAATCCTAGCTAGGCTCCATTCTCCCTTGGCCATGAAGTCCAGGACCCAGGAATTCTGTTCACCCCAGTTTACTGGCCACTCCTAGGTCCCTCCCACAGTCTTTCTGTATATAAGGTCCACTTTGTCTCCATTAAGATGCTGGGATTCTTATAATCTAGCCACTGCTTACCCATGTTCAGACTTCTTAAGAGTCTGCCCAATATGGTGGATGTTCTAATAAACCTTGTCTTTGGCTGAAAAAAAAATTCCTTTAAAATTAGAATGGAAGGGGGCAGCTAGGTGGTGCAGTGGATACAGCACCAGCCCTGGAGTCAGGAGGACCTGAGTCAAATCCAGCTTCAGACACATGATACTCAATAGCTGCGTGACTCTGGGTAAGTCACTTCACCCCTATTGCCTTGCAAAAAAAAATTAAAAGAGAGCAAATGGAAGCTAATGACTTCATGAGAAATCAAGAAACAATAAAACAAAACCAAAAGAATGAATGAAGATAATGTGAAATATCTCTTTGAAAAAACAACTGACCTGGAAAATAGATCCAGGAGAGAGAATTTAAAAATTATTGGACTACTTGAAAGCCATGATCAAAAGAAAAAAAGAGCCTAGATATCATCTTTCAGGAAATTATCAAGGAAAACTGCGATGATATTCTAGAACCCAACGGTAAAATAGAACTTAAAAGAATTCACCAATCAACTCCTAAAAGAGATCCCAAAATGAAAACTGCCAGGAATATTATAGCCAACTTCCAGACTTCTCAAGTCAAGGAGAAAATATTGCAAGTAGCCAGAAAGAAACAATTCAAGTATAGTGGAGCCACAGTCAGAATAACACAAGATTTAGCAACTTCTACATTAAAGCAGGCTTGCAATATGATATTCTGGAGGGCAAAGAAGCTTGGATTATAATGAAGAATCACCTACCCAGCAAAACTGAGTGTAATCCTTCAGGAGAAAAAAAGGATATTCAGTGACATAGAGGACTTTCAAGCAGTCTTTATTAAAAGACCAGAGCTGAATAGAAGATTTGACTTTCAAATACAAGACTCAAGAGAAGCATAAAAAGGTAAACAGGAAAGAAATATCATAAGGGACATTCCTACATGGGAAGATGATATTTGTAACTCATAAGAACTTTCTCATTATTAGGGCAATTAGGAGTATATATAGACAGAAGGCACAGATGTGAGTTGAATATGAAGGGATGATATCTAAAAATGAAATTAAGGGGTGACAGAGGAATGTACTGGGACAAAGAGAAAGGGAGAGGTAGAATGGGGTGAATTATCTCACATAAAAGAGGCAAGAAAAAGCTTTTATAGTGGAGGGGAAAGGGGGAGGAAGTGAGGGGAAGTGAGTGAACCTTACTCTCCTCAGAATTGGCTCAAAGAGTGAATAACATACACACTTAATTGGGTATAGAAATCTATCTTACCCTACAAGAAAGTAGGAGGGGGAAGGGATAAGAGAAGGTGGGGAGGTGATAGAAGGGAGGGCAGATTGGGGGGAGGGGATAGTCAGAAGCAAAACACTTTCAAGGAGGGATAGGGTAAAAGAGGAGAGAAAATAGAATAAATGGGGGGATAGGATAGAGGGAAATACAGTTAGCAATAAACTGTGAAAAAATTTTTGAAACAAGTTTCTCTGATAAAGGCCTCTTTTCTCAAACATACAGAGAACTGAGTCAAATTTACAAAAATAAGAGTCATTCCCCAATTGATAAATAATCAAAAGATATGATCAGTTTTCAGATGAAGTAATCAAAATTATCTATAGCCATATGAAAAAATACTCTAACCCACTATTGATTGGAGAAATGTAAATTAAAACAATTCTGAAGTACTACCTCATACCTATTAGATTGGCTAACAGGTCAAGAAAGGTAAATGACAAATGTTGGAGGGGATGTGGGAAAAATGAGACATTAATCACTGTTGGTAAAGTTGTGAAATGATTCAACCATTCTGTAGAGCAGTTTGGAACTATACCCAAAGAGCTAAAAAACCATGTATACCCTTTGACCTAACAATATCACTGCTATCTCTTTATCCCAAAAGAGATTAAAACCAAATAGGAAAAAGACCTATATGTACCAAAAAACTTTATAGCAGCTTTTTTCTGAGGGTAAAGAACTAGAAATTGAGCAAATGCTCGTCAATTGGGAAATGGCTGAACAAGTTGTGGTATGTGATTATGATGGAATACTATAGTGCTGTAAGAAATGATAAGCAGGATGCTCTCAGAAAAACCTGGAAAGATTTGCATGGGCTGATGCAAAGTGAAATGTACTGTATGCAAAGTAACAGCAATAGTGTAAGATGATCAGCTGTGAACAACTTAGCTATTCTCAGCAATATAACAATCTAAGACAACTCTGAAGGATTTATGATGAAAAATACTGTCCATCCCCAGAGACAGAATTGATGGTATCTGAATACAGATTGAAGCACACTTTTTTTCTTTAACTTTATTTTTCTTGAGTTTTTTTTGTCTATGTTTTCTTTCACAACATGACTATTATGGATATGTTTTGCATGATTACACATGTATAACCTGTATCAAATTGCTTGCCTTCTCAATGGGGTGGGGTGGAGAGGGAGGAAGAGAGGGAATTGGGAGCTCAAAGTTTTAAAAAATGAATGTTAAAAATTATCTTTACATGTAATTGGGGAAAAAATAAAATATTAAATAATTTTTTAAAAAATAAAATAAAATTTACGCTCAAAAACAAACACAAGGATCTCTCTCTCTCTCTCTCTCTCTCTCTCTCTCACACACACACACACACACACACACACACACACACAAAACCCCTAGATTAGCTGGTCTCTGATGTTCCTTCCATCTGAAACTCATTCTATGAAAGCCTTGGCACCAGACATTTACAGTTGACAAAGCCAAATATCATGGCTGAGAGACAGAGAGGAAGCAAGGATACAGGCTAGGTGGACAACAAAAATGTAGGAGTATGCCTGGGACCATATTGTCATTAACTCAGGTCCCAGCTGGACATAGATAGATTGGGTCTATATATTTATCCTTGCCACAGGGATAGTCCACCTTTCTCAGCTTCCTAAAAAATTTTATTGTAGAATAAGAACACTGTGCAATTCCATTGCTAGGACCCTCATTCAGGATTTTCTTTCCTTCCTTCCTTCTTCCTTCCTTCCTTCCTTCCTTCCTTCCTTCCTTCCTTCTTTCCTTCCTTGCTTCCTTCCTTCCCTCCTTCTCTACTTCCTTTTCCCTCTCTTTTCTCTCTCCCTCCCATTTCCCTTACTTCTCTCCCTCCTTCCTCCTTCCTTCTTTCTTTCCTTCCACCCTCTCTTCCTCCTCATTTCCTTTTTTCCTCCCTTCCCTACCCCCTTAATTCCTTCCCTCCTACCTTCCATTCAATTTTTTTTATTCTGAATTCAAACACCAAATAAAATGGGCATTCCCCAAAACACAGTAAAACATATAAAAGGATTATATATGAAATTGTGAGTTTATTGCCCTATAGCTTGCTTTTCTTTTAAAATTTGTACTAAATTCAACTTGCAACTTTCAAGGCTATCCTGCTTGTCTATGACTCTTTCATGACCTTCCTTCTGTTATTTTCTGTGGATTAAAAAAAGATGCTGCAATGACTCCTTTTCTTTCTTTCTTTTTTATCACTTTTCCCTATCTCCTCTTTCCCACACAGTTCCTCAATTAGAAAAAAAAATGGAAGAACAAAGCCCCTGTAATAACTATACTTAGTCAAGAAAAACACTGGCCATGTCTAAAAAATATGTCATTCTGCATCTTAAGTTCATCATCTCTTTTTTTAGAAGGTGAGTTGCATGCTTCATCATTGGTCTTCTAGAGTCTTGGTTGGTAGGACCTTTTTTCTTAACTGACCCTTTTTCCCTCCAGGTATGAAAAATTCACACATATCCTCACCTCAGTACTGGCACAAGGTAATATGTCCTTGTGTTTATGGGAAATTAAAGATAAGCCAGGACAAGGCAGAAATGAAGATATTAGTGTGGGTCTATCTGTGAATGCTAAAAAGAAGTTGATAAACTGGTGTAAAGTGATCAGGTTTTTAGGGATGATGGCCCATAATGAGAATTTCCATCATACTAAGCTAACTAGGCTCTCAATAGATGACATAGAGTCAAGTCTACTTTTGTCTCTACTATTGAGGGAAAACAAACAGGGAAGAATATGGCGCCCTTTCAGCTTCAGGGTCAAGTACAGATTTGACCAGGCTCTATTTAGGTCTTTTCATACATCTTTACCTACACATTCAAAAACTGATCATGTGCTTCCCTTGTCTCTCTGTCAGCCCTGCTGACAGAATCCTCTTTGGGCTGCCACCTGTCAATTCGGATGGATATTATTTTTCCTTTCTTTTCTAAACTAAAGGGTAAGCAATCTACCATATTCACATCATTCTTTTCTCTTTTTTTCACTTTCTTCTTCCTTTCCTCCTTCACTTCTCTTCTTCTACCCATTCTCCTTTATTATTTCTTCTTTAACTCACCTTGCCCCCCTCCCCTTTTTCCCCTTATGCTTCTGTTTTAGGCTTGCCTGTAGGCTTACAAGGCATGATTTAGTTCTTCTAATGAGGTAATGCATCCGTAGCACTTTGCAAAAGCTCAAGTAATTTTTAAGTGACAATTATTATTGTTGTCAATAATAAGTAAGGCAAAAGACATCAGCTGACCTTTCTTCTGGAGCAGAGATTCTTAACTTGGAGTTCATGGATTGATTTCAGGGGTCTGTTGGAGAAAAATACATCTTTATTTTCAATAATCTCTAATTGAATTTTTGCATTTCCTTCAAGGGGTCTATATGCTTGACCAGAATGCCAAAGGGGTCTATGACATAAAAAAAAGGTTAAGGACCTGTGGTCCTTTATAAAATAATTTCTCAAAACAAATCTATACATTTCTGCCTCTAATAGCTAGCTGCTTCTTTTAATGACCAAGTGAAAAAGGTTTTTACTACAGCCCCAGCAAAACTTCAAAGAGCTGGTTAATGGAGAGATCATGGAGAAATGGAGTGAGGAGGAGGTGGTGGCAATATTGACTTTCTATTACCTCAAGGCCTTTTATGTTTTCATGAGTCACAGTGATGTCTGAATATACAGTAAGTAATGTCATATAGATAAGAGGCCCTTTCAGGAAAGAGGACTGACACATAGGGCAATGTCTTCGTTTTTCAAATGACACAAATTAATTTTCAAATGTTCCAAGTCCCATAATACCAAACTGCCTTTTCATGAATGCTTTTATCATCTAGGCTTATTTGTACTTTGGGGGAAACATGATGTTTCTGGATCATTTACACTTAACTCATCAAAATATCATGTTTTCTCAATATTGAAGGAACCCTTGGGGGTTTTGAACAAACCTTTTAAAAAGTTCCACTTCCACACACTTGTAAACAGAAAATCATAACTTGTGAAGAGTACACAAACTTGAGCCTCCCTCAAAGTTGAAATTTGACTTTTTAGTCTAAACACAAACGTGGTTGAAAGTAGTGACTTAACTTGGTAAAGGACATTCTTTCCCCCATAATTCCAAAATGTGTGTCCAGTCCTCAAACATGTTTGGATTTTTTTAATACAAAATTTGCTCTTACTACTTTCATCTCAAGGTCTATGTATTGTAGCATATTAATGTGAGTCCTTAATTCTGCTTATATGCTTTTAGAACAAGGGGTTACCTTGATGGCTAAAAGGATCTCACTTTAAAGGAGACTATCTGAAGCATGAGACCAGAGCATGCATAACCCTATAATAATACTATTTGCTCCCATGCTGCTTCTCCAACATTTTGCCTTTAGTTTCTCACTGTGGTTTAACCTGTGCATCTGCCTGTCCTCATTCTTTCCACCATTTGAATAATACCTCCTGATTGTTTTTATAACCCTTTCAATTATACTAAGATATTTTCATTTGCCAAATACTTTGAGAACACTAATTTGCAAAATGCCAGCAGACTTCTTCAATGTTGTAAATCTAATCATTACTTTTTTTCAGTCTAGTAGGTAGAGTACTATTGTTGGGGTCCAGAAACCCTGGGTTCAAATCCTGTCACTCTCATGTAAAAGTTGAGTGCCTAGGGACAAGTCTAATCATTTTGCTAGGTCTCATTTTACTCATCTATAAAATGAGAATAGTAATACTTATAATACTAACCTCACATGATTGTTTTGAGGCTCAAATAAGGTAAAATAAGTAAAGTATTTGGCAAACGTTAAGGCACTATATAGATGTGCATGCTAGATATGGTTCATCCCTTCAAATTTCATTAGTTCTACTTTTTAAAAATACTTTTATTGATATCTTGGGGTTGTTTTTAACATTACTATAATTTCCCCAGTATCTCTCTTCCCTTCCCTCTCCCAGAGAGGCATTTCATATAACAAATAGTGCTTTTTAAAGACAAAAAGAAAAACTAGAGGAAAAATCAGCATAGCATAAGTACATTGAAAAAGTCTGAAAATATGGGCAATGTACATCTGTGGAACCCTCACTTTGTCAAAGGGGTGGGGTGGGGATGGCTTTTCATGTCTCTTCTTTCAAACCAGACTTGATCTTTATAATTTTGCTGCATTCACTTTTGAATTTGTTTTGTGTATGGTTGTTCTTTCTACTTACATTGCTGTAGTTGTTATGTATAATGTTTTCTTGGCTCTGCTTATTTCACTCTGTATCAGGTCATGTAGATCTTTCCCCGTTTCTCTGTATTTATCACATTTGTCATTCTTTACCATAGAGTAATATTCCATTACATTTATGTATTGTAGTTTGTTTAATCATTCCCCAACTGATGGACATCAATTTTGTTTCCAATGCTTTGCTTCTAACTCTACTTTGAAATGCTGCTCCTACTTAATTCATTACAATTGAATATGATTCAAAAAGTTTAACCAATCACTTGGACAATGTTTTGCACAGAAATATAAAAATCCTCCATTGACATCTTTTCTTCAGCCCTCTTCACCTTCCCCACTGTCTCCCAGGGACATAAAACATAATTAGAAATAGAAAGAGCCCTTACCACATCTGCAAACCTTGAGAAATTTCCCCAATTGTAACAGTCTTTGGCCTTCTGTCTTTGACTCATTTCATCCAATGTGATGTTTAATTTAAGTGGGATTCTTCTGAGCATCTGTATTGAAATAGGGATTGTGATTCTCATCAAGATTTTGAATCCAACTTCCTTTCTTCGTCTGAGCCATTGGTATCCAGTTCTGCTAATTTCCTCTGACCTAAGTAGTGACATATTCAGAAGAGCATCTTCGGTTAGTCCCAGAGTCTTGGAAGAACTTGAGAATTCCTCAGAGTTTAGCCCTTCACCTCACTAGTCAGCTTTTTCTGACAGGTGTGTTTAGTATGGAGAAACAAATTATGAAAGGTTCTTTTTAAGAATCCTGCCTTTTGGTTGGAATTGTTTAAGCTAACCAACATAGGACTTATTTTGCAGTTAATCCCCAATCATCCTTTCTTGTTCCATTTATACACAAACTCCATGGTCTCATTTCCAAGCATCCTAGAGTCTGCTGTGCATATGGCTCTCTATCTGCCCTGACGATTTTCTCTTGGGCTCTGCTGCTCATTAATTACTGCTCCCCACTTCCCCTCCACTGCAGACTTAAAAGTCAAGATTTTCACTCTAGCTACTCCAAGTCATTAGTATGAAAAAAATGTAGTTGTTTACTTGGGGTACAGTGATGGTTTGAACACTGCCATTTTATATTTAGGTTGGGCAACTCATCAAGAACCTTTTCTTATCCTTAACCCTGAAGGCAGCTGGATTCAAATAATCGCTCCGCCACCGGGTGACCTTGGTCAAGTAATTTCATGTCTCTGGGACTCAGTTTCCTCATCTGTAGAATGAGGGGGCTGGACTAGATGACCTTTAAATCAGATCTGGCCTAAAGATACTTGTCTAAGGTGCTACTTTTCGACTGACTTGAAACATTTTGAAATACTCCAATAGTTAGTCCCTTTCTCTAAGTTTCCAAATAAATTATCAACCATCATAAAAGCATTAATCAATTTTTTTAACTGGCCAATGTGGGACTCATTAAAATACAAGTCTATTGATTGAGCTTGGTGTATTTCTCCCCAACCTTCAAAAATGTCAACTAATTAAACACATCCTCCTGGAAAATGCAGCCTGAGATTAGAAACTAACAAACATTTTGATTTAATCCAGGCTTTGCCTCTTATTAGTAATGTGACCACAGACAATTAATTTCCCTACACTAAGCCTCAGTTTCTTTTTCTGCAAAATAGAGATAATAAGACCTGCCACGCCCATCTTGTGGATTTTGCTGTTAGGCTCAAATGAGAAAATGTTTCTAAGAAAGCTTTAAGAACTATAAAACACTAATTAATGCTTTAACATAAGGCATTGCTTTAATTATCATTATTCCATGGTTTAACCATCCATAACAGAAAAACTAGAAAGGCTTATCTCAGAACACGAGATATATCTGAGCCAAGAGCCCATTGTGATCATAGATTAGAACTGGAACAGACTTTAGAGATCATCTGATTCAACCCCGCATTTTACAGATGAGGAAACTGAGGCCTAGAGGGGTACAGTAATTTGATTAAGGTCATATGAGTAATAAAGAACAGAGGTGATATTTTTAATCTAGTTTTTATGACTCTAAATCCAAGATGACTCTCAAAAAGATATATAGATATGTATGATATGTTAATACATACAAGTCTTATGCAGTAGAGATCAACAATTTCTGAGCTTGAATTGCAGCTGAGAAATTGTTTATTACTTTCTATAACCCCAAACTTCTGGCTACAACAAAAGTCCATCTCCTGATACCAGTTTTTTCCCAATTATGCTATTAAACTATGAATCATGGACTACAAGGATCTGGACTTCAGTTTTCTCACCTGGATCATGAAGATTAGTTGACCTCTAAAGTTATTTCCATCTCTAAATTCCATAATCCTGTAAATCAAAATTCTAAGTACAAAGTAATGGAAAGTTACCTGTTACCATTTTGGGAGATGCAAGAAAAAAAATTTAAGAGATAATCATGGACATAAATGTCTAGAAAAGGAAGTGGTCCAGTCACATAGTGACTGACAACAAATGGATATCCCTAGTACTAACTGGTATATCAGAAATCTTAAAATGGTTAGAGGAAAACTTCCAATATGTATCATGGAGCCTCTTTAGAGGATTTGTGGAAAGGCATGGAATTGCACAGGATGATAAGGTGTGGAGGATATTTTGTCCATATCTATGGAGAGAGGGAAGAAATGAAGAAAGGCAATCATATATCCATGAAGTTGTATGTTTAAAAACCCTTTCTGTAGGAAATTAATAAAATCCCTTTAGAAATGAATAAGGGGCTTTTTTTTAACCAATGAAAATAGGATCCTATGATATCCCACAGGGTCTACTAGAGTTCTGTGAGGGTAATAGCAGGCATATTAATAAAGGAGGAAAGCAGAAGATGTAATTTATTTAAAATTGTGTAAGGCCTTTAATAAGCACTACACCAAAAGCTATCTTTTTTTTTTTAATGGAATGAGCATGAGATTGGAGTTATTGTTTATTCATGGAGAGCAAATATATGTCTCCAATAAAATAAATAAAATGGCTAACATTTATATAGCAACTTAAGGTTTGCAGAGTGCTTGACAGACATTTTCTCCACCAATCCTCATAATAACCCTGTGAGGCAGGTACTTCATTATACCCATTTTACAGGTGAGGAAACTGAGACAAATATAATTCAGTCAGTCAGTAAACATTTATTGATCACCTACTATGTTCCAGGTACTATATGAAGGGCTAGGGACATAAAGAAAGGCAAAAGACAGGTTAAGTGACTTGCCCACAAGTCAGATAGCTAGTAAGGTTCTGAAGCCAAATTTGAACACAAGTCTACCTGACTCCAGTTCCAGTATTCTATCCACTGTCACCTAGCTACCTCAGTAAAGTAATATAAGTACTAGAGCTCCTAAAGATTCAGTGTTAATCTTTGACAGGTCTATAAACAATATGGAAGACTTTCCAAGTAACAGTAGCTTTCCTAGGTACTAAAAAGTCAAGTCAGTGGTGACTCGGAAGGGTTTGGTCATTTCTTCCTTTGCTTTGACTTCTTTCCAGTATAACCAGGAATCTCACTACCTTAATATGAGCCTCATATGCTAGTCTGCCTCTTCTTATCTTCAACTCTGTCTCCCAACCCTGTGCCCTGGAGTTTTGGTGTTCTAAATCCCCTTATGCAGACAGATGGTCCCTCCAATTACAGTTTATTGTTGTGTCTACTGTCCTTTGCTCAGGCTGAGGAATGTCCTTGATAAAATAAGTCTTAAACTCCAGGGCTTCATCTTCCACCTGTCTGACTATGGTAACAAAGTTCAGGAATGTCTTTTGAGGCTCTACTCTTGGACAAGAAGAAGGGAGAAAAAATTGAAGATTATCCAAATGAGAAGAAGAGCTGTGGGTCTCTAGCATCCTCCCTTCTCCACCCCTCAAGTGCCTTTTCTTCCACCAGCAAGAGTCAGACTTGGCTTTCTGGCTATAATCCACATTTCTTGTTTATTTTCTCCTCAATGTTAAGTCTCAGTGATAGCTTTTCTGACCTTATAATGGGTTGATAGGTGATAATTGTATCTATGGAGAACTTATATAACCAGCTAAAATTAATTTACATCTCAGAGGGACTTCCAGACTGTTACTTGGAGATAGTGTAGTATGTGGTAGAAAGAGTACAGGGCTCAGAGAAAATATAGCTAGCTGGCTTTGAATCTGACCTTTGAGAGAAACTAGCAGTCAAATCATTAGCAAATCAAATAGATTTAAGTTTCAGTTTCCTCATCTTTACACTGACGATAATGATGGTCATAGGATGAGCCCAACAACAGGGTTGTTTTAAGATTCAGGTTGAATTGGAAAAGGGAAAATGTTTTCTAGTTTAAGTGGGGAGGGGAGAATGGAGTCCACAATGTCTAGACCAGTGAGCTTAAAGTTACTTACCCTCTGTTTAAGTCACTTACCCTCTATTTGCCTGTTTCCTCATCTGTAAAATGGGGATAATAATAGCACCTATCTCCCAGGGTTGTTGTGAGGATCAAATGAGATAATATTTATAAAGTGTTTTATAAACCTTAAAGTACTATATAAATGCTAGCTACTATTATTATTCTATTCCTGGAAAAAATTCTAGAACATATTATTCATGAGTGTCTAGAAAAGGAATTAATGATCACAGAGAAGTGACATGGCTTCATCAAGAATTGATCATGTCAAATTAACCTTATTTTTTTCCCACATGATTTACCTAGAATATTGCAAAGCAATTTATGAAGTATTTCATGCTATTCTTGTGCAAAAGATGGGGGAGATATAGGCTGGATAATGACACAATTAAATAGATCTGTAACCTGTTGAATATCCATGACCAAAGAGCAGTCATCAGTGGTTTACTGTTGGTTTGGAAGATCTCTAGCCTAGTGCTTCAGGGATCTGCACTTGTCGCTGGACAGTTTAACATATTTTTTAATCAGTAATTTGGATAAAAACATAGATGTAATGTTTGCCAAATTTGCAGATAACCCAAAGGGAGGAGAAATAGCCAACTTACTGGATAGCTGAATGGTTGAGTCAGGCTGCAAAAAGATCTTGACAATTTAAACAAAACCTGCACAACTTGACAGTAGGTAGGGGCCAAAATTAAAATAGGCTAAACTTTCTTCTTCTGGACACAGATAGGTTTTTAGCAGCTCACTTTCCAAAGACTAATGATGGTTGGTGGCCATGGGTCACATGACAAACAGGAAAGCGTGCACAGTGGCAGGTTGCCCAAAATCCTTTGGTGGGCTACACAGGTGGACCATATGTTGTGCAGGCCTGGTTTAGCTCCTTGGGTCAAATAGAATATGAAGTTTAGGAAGTGAAGTATGACTTCTGTCTGAAGAAACTCTTGCTTCAGATGATGATGGCTGCTGGTTGTCTCCCCTTACTCTTGACACCCATCTCCTCCCCAGAAGATTAAAGGATCTTTCACACTTCATAAAGAATGTAAAGCATGCAATAGAAAGAGGAGATCCAATATAGTCCTAATGTTGAACTACAAAGAAGTCATTTTAAAAGCTTGCTCTAAGTTTTATGAGAAACACGATGGTGACCTGTAGAAGAAGATGCCAAGATGGCACCTGACCGTCAGTAACCAGTTCATAAGGTATCTATCAGGGGTTTATTTTTGCACATGTTTAAAGGCAC